GGGTGTGTGTGTAATTACAGCAGCCGGAGCTCCACTGACTTGCCAGTTCATTATTACACTGTTCACATATTTTGTGTCAGAAAACAAAGATGTTTTGTATTTTATGCCAGGTGTAAGGTAGGGTGAAGAGTCCAAATAGAAATAAGGACACACTAAGATTTTTTTTCCCTCTCACGAGTTTTTCTGTAGGTGGTTGAGTGGTTGAACGATCAGGAAAGCAGGAAGAAATGGCAGGAGCCTTGGCATTTGAGTGAAAGGGAGCCTGTTTTTGGATTCCGTCATGCACACGGATTCACTCACTGCCCGGGAGAATCCGTCACTGAATAGGAGATAGGGTGTCCATTTAGGGAAGTGCAGCTCGGGACGCTTCAATATTCCTACAAGTAAAAGTAAAATTGTTTAATGTTGCCAGAGCTACTGTGGTAAAATATGTGGCTGCTTTTTCATCCAGTAATGTGATTTGAAATTATGCCAATTAAAAGGAGAGAGAATTAAGAATATAAGATTTCATCTGAATATTAAGTATAACAAATGATCCGGCTGTAGACTCCATGTTCTCATGCAGGATTACTTCATCATTTCCAGAAGGAAATGTGCTCAATTAAATCAGAGCTAATTTCCGGTTGTAAGTTAAGTAAGATGCTTCTCTTCTGTTGATGGCATGAAAGGCCCTGAGCTTCAGGATCCATTTAAAAATTCTGAGTTGTGATATTGGACCCTGTATAAAGCGTAAATAAACACCCACATTAGAAGGCTCCCCATTTTGGAAAGCCTATGCTAAATGCGTTTTTTTCCCTTAGGATAGTCCCGCTCTGCTTGTTTCCTAACATCAGTCTTAACAGACTTTGCTCAGAGTCGTTCATTTCACACAGATTCTTAAACGTAGATGTAAATCCATATCCCGTATCCCATGGGCTGAGGAATAATGAAGGATGACGATATTTGGAAAGTAATTCCGGGTTAAGAGAACTGGATACCAAAACTAAACCCCACGTCACCGAGTCGGTTCCGACTCGTAGCGGCCCTATAAGCCAGATTAGAACTGCCCCGTAGGGTTTCCAAGGAGAGACTGGTGGATTCGAACTGCTGACCTTTCGGTTAGCAGCCGAGGTCTTAACCACTGTGCCACCAGGGCTCCTATATTGATGGTAGACTAGAAGGAGACTATCCAGTTCTTCTTCAGTGCTCCCTGCTGAAGAGAATATTAAATGTATTTATCGATAGTGAAATAACATATGTCCGCAAGAAAGACTGCTGTTACAGCTTGTAATACAAAGGATTTGTAACACTAACTGGTACACTCTGGGCTGTGGCAGCAAATTTGATATTAAAAGAATATCTTCTTGTTGACGTACAATGAGTGAAATGCAGACTCTCGCCCCGTGTAAAAACCCCACTCTTCCTGACATTTTCTTTCTTCATATACTGTTTCTTTCAACACGTATCTGAGTTAGTAAGTGCTAAGCCTGTGCTAACAGCGGGGTTACGAGGATAGAGCCACCCTGCCTTGAGCAGAAGGACGGTGAGCGGGAGTGTGTATCGGTGCCGTTTGCTAAGGACGTGCTAGCGTGAGCAGAATTAGGTGGGACACAGAGAAGAGTATGTCAGTGGACACGGAGGAGAGGGGACTCACAGAAGCCTTCCTGATCTTTGTCACGAAGAGGTACTGCTGCTTCTGATTCAAAGAAACTAACGGGTGATTTTAAAAAGATAATAAGGTAAGGGGGATTAGGTGTCCTTTCCCTCTGCAAGTCAGAGGCGTAGTTCCTAAACTTATTATTAAACGTATTTCTCAAAAAGAAAGTGAATAAAAAAGTGATCGCTCCCACTGTCCCTTGTCACCCCTATGTTGGTGCTTGTGGTGGAGACAGACATGTCTTGGGTGGGGGTTGTGAAGGATCCGTAATTCCAACACTTGTCTGCACCAGGTTACAGCTCTCCAGATTGCTGTTTCACACTGAAGCCCTTGATAAATGGTAGATGGCTTCTGGTCTTTGGACAAAAATGTGCAGAGTTCTCCTTAGATTTTATGATGTTGTGCTCTCCTGCTATTATTTCCACCCCTCTAGAGTAGTTTGGTATCTAATGGAGTGTTATGTTTCCAGTATAAAACATTGTGTTTTAAAGCCATGATATTCTATTTGTAAGCTTACTTTTCCTCAAAATGGACAAAAATAGTTATTTTTGATTCTAGACATGTTCAACTTGTGCCTTGTACTGGCAGGCTTTATGAAGTAAATTCACACGATAGGTGACTTAGAGTCTCCTGTTAGGCCCCCTCCCCCCTTTTGCTGGAGCTGCGTTGACTCAAAAGGAGGCAGGGGTGGCCCTGCCCGTGAGTGTGGCAGGGGACCTGACCTTGGCCTCCTGTGTGTGAGCAGCCCACGACCCTTTGTGTCCTCCCTTCTAATAATCATTGAGACGAGGGCAGGAGACGTTACCTCACAAAAACTCCTGCTGCTTCCTGTGATTTCTTTACCCATTCGAGGCCAAGATTGATGTTCATTTTACCTTGATTTCACCGGAATAAACATCTCGGAGGAATAGAGTGCCTGTGATCTGTCTCCTGAGCTTTCGATGACCTCTGTGATGACCTCTGGGCGTCCTCCGTCCCCAGGAAATTACCTAAAGATGAAATGTCCAAGTAGTGAAGTGTTTAAGCTGCAGTGATGATATGATTCCTTTTATTTTTTAAAAAAAACTACATGTGTGTGGGAAACGTGTCTGTATTTATGTACGTGCACCGTATTGTTAACTGTGGTGACGGGGGAGGATGCTGGAGGAGTGTGTTCATGCTTTCTTCAACCCTCTGGTGAACTGAGTATTTTCTGCTTTGAGGTTTTTGTTGATACCTCTGTTTTGATTAATGGAAGTGTGTTGAATCAATGAGTGTCTGAATGTTTGGTAGGTGGCATGGATTTTTTTTTCTTGCCCCCTCCCACAAGCCTACCCTAAGTGTTTAGCGGTGCATAGGAAGGACCACGGATTATACCACTGGGGTCTGTTGGCACATATGTGTAACAAATACAGCTTTTCAAAATTTCCTACCCAAAATTCAGACACCTCATGAAATACCCTGTAAAAACAGTGATTTGCGGCACATGCCCATTTCTCCGGCTGCAAAGAGTCAAACGAAGGCCCTGCCCGGCGGCAGCACTCACTGGCAGTGACACAGCAGCTTCCCAAGAAACCTTCCGGGCTCGAAAAGTACTTGGTCCCTAGGTTTAAAGTACTTCAGCCTTTCGTGAGCAGGAAAAGGTTAAAAAATTATATTTAAATTTTTTTATGATTTTACTCTGATAATAGTGGTCGCTTTTTAAAGGAACAGACCCCAAAACACGGATGGGAAACAGCTGGGCCCTCTTATTGGTGATCCATGTTAGTTGACGCTGCCTTTGGCGAGGAATGGGAGAGAGGGGAAACGGGCAATTTTTGTTTAGAGGGGCACTGAGTTTATGCTAATGGCGGTGGGTAATTTAGAAAAGGGTGTCCAGAATAGTTACACAACTTGAAGAATATGGTCAGTGTCACTGAATTATACATGTAGAAATTGTTGAATTGCCTTGTGGTTTGTTGTGTATATTTTCACCACAATTAAACTAAAATAAGAAGAAAAACAGAGTGCTGCCTTTGGACTAGTCTGGGCAGAACGGTGCACCTCTCCGTGCCTCAGTTTCCTCATGTCTGAAATGGGAATGATACTAGCAGCAACCTCAGGATATCGTTCTAAAGATCAAGAGTTAATATGTGTGAGGTGGTTAGAGCAGTGTCTGGCGCTCAGTAAGGGACACCTGTGGCCGTTATTGTTATGATATTAATACACATTCATCTAGTCAGTCTTCTCTGTGTGCAGTATTCACATCGTAAGTCTGTTACCTGAGGAGCAGATTTTATTCAAAGTGTCAGATCTCCATGGTGATGAATATCTTCATTAAAAAGCTATTAGTTGATGGCAGTCTTTGTTTTTTTCAATGGCTACAGCCTTTTCATAATTAAATTGGAGGTAGAGTAATCCGTAAACAGGTTCTGTAAAGGAAGCTTAGCCATTTCATCCAGCCATATGTGAAAGAAGGTAAGATGCTGATCTGTTGTTTCTTGCTACTATTTTGCAGGATTCAGAAGGAGTAGAAATTATGTTGGGAGTTTGCGCGAGTGGTCTGTTGATATATCGTGATCGACTTCGAATAAACAGATTTGCCTGGCCCAAGGTTCTAAAAATTTCATACAAACGGAACAACTTCTACATTAAGATCAGGCCGGGAGAGGTGAGTGGGCCTGCATTTCATGAACCTGGGGAAGACAGGTGCCGGCAGCAGACAGAAATGTCAGTGACCTGCTCTTGGATTTTGAGTTTTGTGGGACATGGGAAATTATTTCTAAATGCCTGAGAGAATTTATTAGAGGTTTGTCCAATAAACAGTAATAAAGAAAACACTCTCTCCTTTTTTATTATTTTGTTCCAATTTTTACGGTTGCATCCGTTAATTGAGAGGTGTTTTTTGTTTTTTTATACATATTTTCATATGAATCCAAGATTCATGAATAATTTCTTGTATATTTCAGGCTGTGGTGTAAAAGAAACCCTTAGTTGTTAAACCTCTTTGCAAATAAAGAATAAAGCTCTCCCTGTCTGTCCTGTTAGAACAACAAATCTGGTCGCACCCTGAAGTGAGTAGGTTAGAATGGAGGTACAAGAAAGATTAGAACGAGGAATGCCGCGTTTAAATTCTAATCCTGTAAATCTTTCACAGTCCAATGTATCAGTGCATTCCTGCTTTATTTTTTTTCTTTTTTTAAATCAGAGAAGCTAATGGGAGGGTCAGAATTGTTAGCGGATCCTTAAACCTTGGGCAACAGCATCCAGAATCCACTCAGGTTTAAGTCCTCCGTGGTGGTTCGTACGTGAGAGGTGGTCTCTGCCATTGTCATGTGACAGATAGGTGGCATGTCCAGTTTCTGATCTGTGTGGT